ATCCTAACGATTCTCTTCGATTCTGTATTCGATTTTCAAGTTTATATTAAATTTAATAGGTGGGATATACCCCATTATTATTTTTAATAGTGTTCCGAACCTCATGTGATTCTATTTGATTCTATTTGATTCCAATTTTCAGAATCATATTTACAGTCCAGTTCTTTGATTTCTTCTTGTTTGATTCCTAAGTGAATTATATTTGGATCTTTGTTATTACTATTTATTATAATAAAAATTGATTTGTTGCCATTAATTTGAAAGTCGTTTGCTATATAAAACTATTTAGCTCTTTCGAGAATTAGTTTCATGTTTTTTTGAGATCTAGCTATTTATATTGTATTATTCATATAGGCGATTGTTACTTGTCTAAGAGATAAGTTCTCTATTGAGCTTGGGTTGCTAGATGGCTTGCTGAGATCTGGTGTCCAGAAACAATTCATTGAATAGCCCAGTGTTTCGTTCTTTTGAATTTCATTCAGTAATGGATCATAGAAGATTCTCCAGATTAGTGGAGAAATTGTTTCTTCTTGATTTATACCATCTTATGCCATTACTTTTTTGATGAGTCCTGCATTTGTGATGACCTTAATTTTTCTTTTCTTGAAGGAATTCAGGATAAGTCTGGTAATCTTTTCTGGTACTTTGATTCTTTAAAGTGCTTGTTTAAGCATTTCAAGACTAACAGTATCATATGCCTTGGCAGTGTCTTGTAATAGAATCCATAATTCTTTTTTCTCTTCACAAGCTTCTTCACAAATATTGTTAAGCAATTGGATTGAATCAAAAGTACTTTCTCCTGGGAGGCCTGTGAAGTTGGAACCTTTGAGTATGTTGTATTTTTTGCATATTAATACTAACCGGTTATTAAGAATCTTGATAAAACACTTTCGTATTGTTTCGAGTAGAATTATAGATCTAGTATTATTGAGTTCTTGTCATTTTTCTCCTTTGGAAATTGAATATAGAAGGCTGTTCTTCCAAAATACTGGTGTATGTCCCTGTTTTAAAAACAAATTGAAGAAGCTGCATAGGACCTTTTTGGCCTGGGATTCTAATCTCTTAAGCATTTCATATTTGATTTTGAAGAGACCTGCTATTTTGTCTTTTAGTAGGTCTTGAAGGACTTTTTCCAACTTTTCTGGTTGGATTTATTCTTCTAGCTTCTTGTACCAACTGTCTTGTATTTCGTCTTTGGGTTTGTATTACTTTTTCTATTGCTTATCTAGCATATTATAGTTGTTGTTGCGCTTCTGGAATGCTTTTTAATAGTATTGCTCTGTTTGGCTCAGAATCTTTTCTTTATCAATTGTGAAGTATTCTTGTCCTTTTTCATCTACTGCCTTGATTCTGTCAATTGTTATTTTTTCTCTAAAGTTGTTAGTGTTTATATGATTCTCTTCTGATTGTCCTTAAGGTTCTAATATCTGGTTTCAATCACCTTTAGGATTTCTTGATTAACTCTTTTTTTTTTCTCCATGAGACATGTCTTTTGCACTGTTGATTTTAGATTGTGTATACATTCTTTGATCTGTGATGGGACTGTGCTCTGGTTCTCTATGCTCTGTAATAGTTTATCTACTAGAGGTTAGGAGTTAGTTAAGAGAATTCTGATAACCTTGAGCAAGAGGTCTTTAAGTTATTGGGATAGTGCAATGGGTTTTATTGTTGTGAAATCTTTTTAAACCTTCTTCTGTAATTTATGGAACTGTCTGTATAGTTTGATTAGACCTTTTTTTTTACTGTTTTATATTCCGTTTTGTTATTTTTGAATTTTTCTAGTGGTTTTCTTTTCACTGTAGAGGTTGTTGAATGCTAATAAGATTATCATTCTTTCGAACTCACTCCACCAGTATTGAATTTCATCAATTTGGTTCTCTGGATCTGGTTCCTAATCATGTAGGCTTGCATTTTCCTTATAGAATTTGTTGTTTCATATCTTGTCTTCTATTTTGTCTTTGAACCTTGTCCATTGTTTCTCTGATGTTTTCGCCAGGTTTATAATTTTTTCTTGATATCTTTTGATCATTTTTTGCTACTCTGTAGCTATGTGAATAAGAGATTCCTTAGCTACTTGAAGTTTTAGAAGGATATGATTACTATTTGTAATCTCTTTAAAGTTTCTGTTTTTGAAGCTGATCAAGCTATTGACTATAGCTGGTAAGCTCCAAATATAGTCTATTTTACTTGAACTTTTGCTATTAGACTATATATGTGTATCTACTTCACTGTCCCAGAGTTGTTGAAGGTCTGTGAGATTTTGATTGGTGAGATGACTAAATATTTGTGTTTCTAGTTCTTCAGCTGAAGTGAAGATTTTACTGAAGCCTATATTTCTTCAGTCATATCTGGGATTAAAAGTGGCATTGAAGTCACTCATTAAGATGATTTGGTACTGTTGCTAGATCTTACTCTGGATCAGTGTTTAGATTTTTTTTTGGATGGATAGGTTTTTTCGTTTATCACAAGGAAGATATATTTGTGCTATCCATGTTTTACACTTTTTGTTCCAGAGGTTGAAGCTACCAGGTGACCATCTAGTCTATCTATACAAATGATGTTTCTTTCTAAGCCTTTGTAAATTAGTAAAAGGACTTCAGCCCTATGGGATTTAGTGGACATAAGCTTGTAAAGCATTTGTATTTGTCTTTGCTATTTTGAAATGCGAACTGTTGGTTGATTTGGGTGAGTTTGGTTTCACTGAGTTCTAGTATGTCTATTTGACTTTCCCAGATTTCTTGATCTGTTGCACGTGTGATTCCCCTGGTGTTGTGAGTTCCTATTCGTATTAAGTTGTTATTGAAATTGTGCAGGTGTTTTTTTTGTTTTGGTGTTATCAGGATTTGAAATTTGATTGTTTAGAAAAAGTTCTTTTTGCTTATAAAGAAATGTGGAAATGTCAATGTCTAATTGTTGGTTATGTGCTTTTGAGAAGTGTTCTAAGTTGAAGGTATCTAAAGTATGGATTACTACAGGCCTTGTTATTGGAGGTTCTACTTGTTGTGGATTTTTTGGAGATTCGTTTCCTCCAATATTGTTTTGTTGCAGGACTGGTGTGACTTTTTAGAAGGAGTAGTGAAGTTTTTCACTGTTTTTGTTTCTTTTGTCTTCTAGTCTTATTAATTTGACACTGATCAATTCCAACATTGTGTGAATTATATTCCAAGGAATTTGTTCTTCAGATATATCGTATTTGCTTGTTGTTAGTTCAGTAGTATATTGATTTTTTTTTTCTTTTTTGTTTGAGTTCCTTGGATTGTTTTGGGTTTTCTTTTCTTTAGGGTTATGAAGAAACTTGAATTCTTGTACTGATCTGGACAGCTTTCTTCTTTTATTGTAAGGTCTTGTATTTGAACTTTTGGCTTTTTATTGATACTTTTATATGTTTTTGCATTGTCTTTGATGCTCCACCAGGTTTTACTTCCAAACAGTTTTACATGTGATGATAGGGCTTTTTTTAGATCATTTTGGTTTTCAAAACATATAATAGTGAAGTTTCTTCTTTTGCCAGTTTTGCTGTTAAGTAGAATATATACTGTTTTAATCTTTAGGTGCTTTGTTATGCTTATTATTTGTAAGGCAGATATTGATTTTTCAATGCCATATAGTCTGGTTGTGATTTTATTGTATTCCATAAAGATGTCCTGATGGTTTTCTAATAGTGCTAGTCTTGCCATTAGGTTATCCAATGGGATTGACCAGATTTTCTTGAGGTTAGTTTCTGTGAATTGGAATGCTACTATAGCACTGTTGTAGTTATTATTTCCCTTTATAATATTAAGTGATTGGATTTTCCTATATTTACTAAGGATGTCTCGTACTTTTTTGGATAAAGTGTGTACTGGAATGTCTATAAGTATGTATTGATCCAGTATTGATTTGGTAGTTTCTGAACTTTCTGAAGTTAATGAGTTTTCTGATAGTGTTTCTTTATCTGGACTGACGTTCTTGGTAATATTCAAAATTATATCTTGTGATTATATGTGTTTCAATAGCTGTTGTTTACACCTGTAAGCATCTATTGTTTTGTTGAAACCAAGACTTATTCATTTGTTTTTTTCTATTGCCAGGACTTGTATTTCCTCATGATGATAGGCACTTAAAGCATGTTGGTTATCTTTTGTAATTGTTTTTCTCTACTGGTCTGGAGAAAAGGGTTGCATCTAATTCGAAGTTGAACTCTACTCTGTTTATTAGTTAAATTGAATAAGTTAAGGCTGTTGTGACTAATAATTCTAAGGATTCTCTTCGATTCTGTATTTGATTCTCAAGTTTATATTAAATTTAATAGATGGGATATACTCCACTATTATTTTTAATAGTGTTTCGAACCTTATGTAATTCTATTCGATTCTATTCGATTCCAATTTTCAGAACCATAGTTGTGACTTTGATTTTCTTCCAGTATGCTGTGTTTGATATCTTCTGTTTTCTTGTTGGTTTTGTTGTTTTGTCTGAAATTTGAGTCCTGTATTGCGATCAGTTCAAAATTCTCTTTGTTTTTGAATTTGCTAATGCATACCGATCTGTCTTTTTCATGGTAAAAGTGGATTGTGTACTATTTGTTTCTGTTGTGGAAATATGGTTGGATGAGGTTGTATTTGTTGACAGAGAGCTTGAAAATATTTGCCAGATACTTGATCTGTTCTTCTTGATTTATTTCTGATGTGTTTTCTATTAGAGTTCCTGCTTTGTATGTCCCTTTTTTGCAGATGTGATAGGGATTTGTTGATTGAAAGTCTCTGTTTCTTGTTGCATAGTCTTCCTTTGCTCTTATGTCTTCCAGTAGATTGGGTGTGAGTATTAGTGTGTTGGAATCTTTGTTTGAGAGAGATTACTCTTTCATGACTATTTCAGAAACATGTGTTTTCTGGTTTTTAGTTATGTTTTCAGAAATTTGTTTATTCATAATAACTTCTGATATTTGTTGTTCTTCATTTGCCTGCTTTATTACATCTTTTTGATTAATATAATTTTCTGACATATTTTCTTTACTCCTTTTAACTATCTCTTGTTAATAGTTGTGGTTATGGTTTCTTGTTGCAGGTTATCCAGAAAGTAATGTGATTTCTGGATCTTTATTTTGTGCATATCATGGATCATGACCTGAATGTAGGATATCAACAATTTGAGACACTTGTTGTGAGTCTTCTAACATATATTTGTTTAATATGTTCATGTCTAGTTGGTTGAACACCTAGATTTGTTTGATGTATTTTTTTGCCAACATCTATTTAACGGCTGTATGTGAATTAATATTGAAAAGTTTTGCTGCTATTGCATTTATAACTGTAATGTTTACTATTGCTTTTAATTCTGTTAGTTTTGAAACTGTGTTTGTTGCACTATTTTTAATTAATATGCAAAACTATTTTTGTTCTCCTTCATTGTAATTGTCTTCAATCATTTTAAGATATTCTATTATTAGATTTTCTATTGGGATTGGGTTGGAGTCAACTATTGTTTTGGACTTTTGCTGGGTTGACACGTGTGAATCAGCTTTAATAAAAAATAAATAAAAAATTAATAATATTATAAAAAATTTAATAATATTTAAAAAATTTTAAGAAGTTTCAAAATATTTTCAAATATTTTAAAAAGTCTTGAATATTCTATAGTATTTTGAAATATCTTAAAGTTTTTTAGGATTTCATATTAAATAACACATAGTATAATAAAAGAAAAAAATTGTTACATTTGTAAAGCTTGTATTGATAGTGTTCTCAATAAGAAATTGGTTAGGAAAGTTTGTTAAATTGATAATAAAAAAGTTTTCACAAATTCTATTTTAATGATTTTTTATTGTTAAGATTAAAATAATAAATTTAAAAGAGTTGATTGCAATTCTGATAAATAGTAGCATATAAAACTGTTTTTTGTTACTATTTGTTATGAAATATTTTATATTAAAAGTTAATTAGTGGTTGAGAGAACTTGAGAGTACTTGAAATTGAAAGGTTTCTTGAGAAGGCTATTATCAAATAAAAAAATTTCAAGTGAAAAATTGATTGTTGGAAGAGTTTTTTTTTTTTGAATCAAAACTAATAATAAAATTTTGTTAACAAAGTATAAAATAAATTACTTTAATAAATAATTTAATTTGAATTTGAATTTGATTAAACAATAATTATAGATTTTTTATATAATTAAATATTAATTGAATTATCAAAGCAAGATTGATATTTGTTATTTTTTTAAAAAGATTGAAAAAAAATATTTTTATTATCTTTAATTTGATAAAACATGTAAATAATAATGTAAATTATGTGTATTAAATTGTTCCTAAATAGAAAAATAAAATTTTAGTGTTTTTTGTAATTTTTTTTTTTGAAAATTAAAAGCTTTTTATTTTAAATTATTAATTTAATTATGAATTTAATATATTGTATAATTGTCATTAAACTTTATTGGTATAGCAATTTGGACATTCTATATTATTTACCAATTTTATGATAAAATCAATTGAAAAACAACTTCACTCTTTTATTAAAATTGCTAATTGACCTAATTATTTATAATATATTTAATTTAATGTTTGTTACATGTTTTTAATAAATTTCAATTTAAAAATATTGATAATCAAGAAAATATACAGTATTTAAATTTTTTTTTTGTTTTTCTTTATAATTTTAATCGATGCTTAGGATTATTACTTTTTTGTCAAAAAACATGAAAACACAGATCAAAAAGTACTATTCAGAAATCATATACAGTATATAAAATTAATATTAAGAATTTAAGAAAAAATATATTAGTTTTCAGAACTCCAGCTGAGTATAAATTATTCTTGCGATCTAAAATAGCAACTTAAACTCTGCTGTATTTAATAAACACAATCAATTCACGAAAAATACTTATAGAATGTAATGGAATCTAAGAGAAGGTTCTAAATTAATTTTAAATTCAGAAATTACGTTAATAATAACTCTTCACCACTAAATAAACATCTATAAGAAGTTGTATTAGTAAAATTCTTTACCAGTAGGAAAATGAATTTCTTGGAAACTATTCCAGTCTGGAGGTAGAGATAATTGCATCAGGTATTCGTTGGACATCGCATTCTCAAATGTAGTGTTATTTGAGTCATCATCTGTTATTTGACTCCTCGCATTATCTGAGTTGCCTTGATCAACCTCGTATGATTTTAGCATTGCATTATCCGAGTTATCACCTGTTACTCGACCAACCTCCTTATGTGATTTTATCATAGCATTTATTAATGCTATTATAATATTATTGTTAAAAGTTGAACTTTAAGGTATCGTAAAATATCACATTCATTATTATGTCTTACTAGGAGTAATTTCGATCTTATGGTTACAATTGGAATGCTGAAGGTAGAGCTTCTGAGTATCAGTATCAATAGTTATGCTATGCGGTGGATCTGATTATATTCGGAGTTAAAATATTATGCACGTTTCGTAATTGATTTTGAAAATGAAGTATTTTTTTTACCTTCTTTAGTTTCCTTACAGTCTGTACAAGAGGAAAACAAATCCCTCTTTTTACAACATTTTATACATTGGAATAAACATTCATTATCGCCTTTCTTGCATTCCTCGCATCTAAATTCTCCTGGTACACCATGGTAAATACATCTTTTTTCTTGCGTACGACAACCGGTGCAAAATCTCTGTTTTTCATTTGATAACTAATGTTTATGACAAATTTTACTTACAAAATGAATAGCACGGAAACGAAATCTTTTTACTAACCTCTGAATTAAAACTTATTCCATCCGATAGTTGAGGTGTAGTTGAAAAATTTTCGAATTCTGATGGAATTCGTGAAGTTGGAGTTTTCGGTCCAGGCTTACGCTTGCTCTTAAGAACACATTCAATCCCTCTTTCTCGGCATCTTTCGCACGATAGAAGTAAAGGATCATAATTACATTTTCTTTTTGAAGCCCAACATAAAGTACAAGCACTCTTACTATATGGACTTCTACTAAGTCCGGAGTGATTCATATTTTTGATCGTGTTTATCGAACATTTTAAAAGCACTTTTATATGCAGATCGTTCCGAATAATTTTTTCGGAAATTATGCAATTAATTTTATTTAATTAATTTTGTGTTTTGTGGCTAATGTGTTGCGATATTTTTGATCGGATGGCACAGGTCGTTTGCGATATTTTGTGTCGGAATATGTTAAATATAAGATATTCTTCAAAATATATTGTTTTTATAATTTCTTCTGCAATGTCAGAGCCATCCTACTTCGCTAACAACTTGAAGCCCAAGCTATCTAATACGTGCGCTAATTGCGTTAAACACAAGAAACGTTGCAATGCGTGCCCTCGTTGCATTGAACAAGGGAAAAGACCGTGTAGTCACATCGAGCCAGGTACTTTCAAATGTAAAAATTGTATGAACGGCAACGGCAAGGAATGCTTTTTTCAGTGTGATGATTGCTATAAAAAGAATAAACACGTCGAAAGAGGTCAACCTTTCCCCAAATGCAATAATTGCAAGATTGTTACAGAAGGTAGGCTTTATCATCTTTTCATTTTTCTTTTCTCATAGTATTGACATATCGTTGAATAAGGTCCGCCCATCAATTTCGATATCTTTAAAAAAGACGGGAAAGTATATCTTCGTCCTATTGGTAGTAAAAACCAAGAATATGAAGTCTCTGATGGTGAGATTTAAATATTTTTGGAATTATTTATATTTACGGTTTTTTTTTTTTGATAAAATTTATAATGAATTGTAGAGACTTTTGAAAAAGCCTTTGAACTAAAATATGGATATAATCATGGAAGATATATGAGGTACTTTCTCGATTATGTCGCGAACTTAGAATCTCTTGTCGTAAATTCATTTGGCCCAGATTATGTTATGCAAGAATTACACGAACCTGGAAATGCAACGTACATGACTATCCCTTCAACTTCGCAAATTCACGACTCTAATCAGGCGCAACACGAATCTGACTCGTGACATTTTAGTTCCCTAGTGTAAAAAATTCGAATGATCTTAAGTATTTTGCATAATCATTATTCCTTTGAACCTAATTATAAATTAATAAATATAAAGTAGACATGGGTATTATGGCGCATATGAGTTTTGTGGTGCACATTAATATTCTGACCAGAATCGTCATAATTCATTATATTATATATATATAATAAGGGACGGTTATAAACTGGCATATGAAGTGAATTACCAAATAATAGCAGAGTTATTACCAAAAATAAGTGACAGGGTGGTTGTTCTCCATAAATAATACGTGCAGCCTCATTTGCTTTGTTTTCGAGTGAAATTTCCGGATCATGAGAACTAGAACCGACCGAGACGAAGTCACGGGAGGGTGATGTTTTTCTGTTGCTACATTTGCCCGAAAAAATGAATCTTTTTGTGATTGATCCATAATAATATCTGGAAATTTTAAGCAGCTTCTATCTGTACTTGACTTTCATATGTATACTAATAACATATCTGTACTTTTCCTTTTAATCACAGTAGAGAGAAAGTCTTGATATTCTTCTGATTTTGTATTGGTGTGAACTTTGATTTTCGGTTTATTGAATTTCCCATAGCATAACGATAAAACTCTTAATCAATTTCGAGCAGCAATAAATATTTCGGAATTTGAGAGCATGGCTGTGCATCCCCCACAACGTGTTAGAGAAATAGCACTTGGGTAATATGATAGTGCACTGAGTTTAAATTGAGGAGTTTGATAATCGGAAGGCACGGCTGTGTACCCCCACGTGTCATTTAGAGAAGCGCGGCCATGTACTCCCAACGACGTGCCGATAGAGTAAGCACGGTTTACATACCTCCTTAAGAGTGTCGAAGAATAAGCACGGCTGTGTACCCCCAACATTTTGGAAATAGTAGCATGACCGTGTAACCCCACAACGTCCAAAAAATATTTCGGAACTACCGTTCTTGGTGAGGTAATGAGCAGTTAAGAAATATTAGACAGACGTTCCTTGGATACAGGCGGCATGCACATTCCCATAATTACTTCATCGATTAACTACATGTTGACACGTCAGAGATCCGAGCGATAATAATCCTGCATAAATGTAAAAAAATTTCCAAATTTTCGATATATCAGTAAAATAAACTGGAAATGAACAGTAACAGCATTATCGTACTGATTCTGTTAAATAACAACCACCATTGATCGAAAATTCACATCAACATTTTGTCGCCTTTAGCGCAAAAAATCCTACTCGTCTTCAAAGATAATTGTCATGTTTAAGGACGCTTAAAGTCTCGAAGATGAACTAATAGGCCATCATGATCGTTTTTTCGACTAAATTGTCCTAAATTAGGGTTTACGGTAATAATAATAATAATAATTTTTTCAAGTTAATATTATTTATTTCTATTTAAAAAAGATAAATGTTTGCTTACATATCGGAAGGATACTTCAAAATCGAATATCTGGACAGTTTAACAAAATGTGTGGATGCCATAGACCTCAACATTAACATCTTGTCGCTTCAATAAAAAATCGGTAATAAAGATTCTGCCAATTGATCCCAACTCAATTTTGTGGCAAACTGGTTTCTTCATCACATATTGACGAAGTACCAAGCTTAGCATACATACGATCACGAGACAAACTGCTTAGGTAGAATGGATCATGTCTTAGAAACAGTATCAGGCAGAATACGTATCAATGATGTAACTTTTGCTGCAACCGAAGCTAAAGTCATCCGATCCGAGCGTTACTTACCATGCTAGATTCATTTTTTAATTCAATGGTCAAATAGTATATATCATATCATCGCAGTTATTATGATTATTTTCCAAATTTAAAGAATGGGTTATATCCTGCTGTTCACAGGTATCTTATACCTCTAAGCTACGTTGCTGAGGATTTGTCATTCGATTATATCAAAATTAATATTTATAAGATTTATGTCTTGTCAAAAAATTTCCTTTATATATAGTTTTTTATATTCTAGTACAAATTGTGGAACATTTGGCGGAATAAATTATGGAGCATTTGGTGGAATAAATTGCGGAACATTTGGCGGTATAATAAATTGCGGTACAACTGCGGAATAATTTGCGGAATAATTTGCGGAATAATTTGCGAAATAATTTGCGGAATAAATTTGTGGAATAATTTGCTAATACAGTATTATTATATTTGTGGAACGCATATGCAAGTACAATCATTTTCGAAGGCGGGCTGGGATTTTTTGAACCCTAAAATATGGCTGATTCTTTTTGAAAACGACAAAAATGTTATATGGGTAATTCTTTTTGAATGTGGACAGGGATTTTTCTGACTTTATAATTGTACTCCTAGAACTTATATTATATATGTATTGTTCAAAAAATAAGGATCAAAAAATTGTATATAACATTTTTGTCGTTTTCAAAAAGAATCAGCCATATGGGTAATTCTTTTTGAAGGCGGACAGGGATTTTTCTGACTTTATAATTGTACTCCTAGAATTTATATTGTATATGTATTGTTCAAAAAATAGGGATCAAAAAATCGTATATAGCATTTTTGTCGTTTTCAAAAAGAATCAGCCATATACTATATATCCTTATTAAAATAATAAATAAATATTGTAATTATGTCTCTTTAAAAAAAACATAATTAATATATAAGGTTGAAAATACTTTAAGTATATTAAATTACTATTAAATAAATTTTTGTTATTAATTTTAATCAAAATTATTTTAATGTTTACAAAAACTTTTAAATAGATAATAAAATAAAAATTTTGAATTTTAAAAAAATTTAATTCTATAATTAATTATTAAAAAATCATAAAGAATAATATTATCAGACCTGTGGGTCCATAGTGCAGTGGTTAGCACTTCACAGGTCAAATCACAAGATACCGGTTCAACTCCATGTGAAGGCAGTTGAACAAGGTCATATAGTATCTGGCACCATAACCTGTTAAGTACTGTTTCTCATAGGAAGCCATTCCACATGCTGATCTAGTGAGCATTGAGATTGTGATTTCCAGTTAAGATGCTATGGCATGTTAATCGTCTGGTTGGTGTTATGATGATCAACGTGATGTTTGGTACATTCCCAGGTTCAAACAAGTCGTTTCTCTCTCCTATAGTCCACGAGACTATAAAAGAAAGCTTGCTAATCTGATTAGGCAACTTTAAAGAGGACTACTCTACCAGTAAGCAGCCCTCGCACTGTATAAGGACAATGTGGTAAGACAGAATATGTAGAAGTTGCATCCTGTTTGGTATTTATACCCCTAGGCTTGGCAGCCTATGCCAACCAGCTCGTAATGGAATGTCTACTAGGAGATTAAAAGTTATTCCTTAAGGAGTCACACCCCATTTGGCCATATGGCCCCTAGATTTGATAGTGCCCAACCAGTAGCAAACTGGAGTATTTACTAGGAAGTACATACCTGCATCAATCGGTCCGAGCTGCAGCTGGAGTCAGATGGTGGTAGATGAGACGTGATAAGAACTCTAATGACGGTAGCAAGTAATAAAATACCCTTCGAATAGACCACACCTGAATTGTGAACCCATTTCCAAGATGTTAGTTGGTAACCAGGTTAGAATTAGAGGCGGTACTAGGATTAGAATAGCTAGTATAGTTAGTCAGACTCTTCATGTAATGATTGTAACTTCAATGCTAAGTTAATAAAATTCGCATGTAATGCACTTTGCCTCTAAAAAAAAAATATATAATATTATCTGCCTGGAAAATAAATTATATTTATATTATAATATTATAATAAAACAAAATTTTATTGAGATATATAATTAGAGATCACAGTTTTTATCCAAATTTGAATAATTCATAAATCAGATATGAATCAGATCAAATTGAATTTTAAAATTTTTAAATTGATTAAATTTGAATTGAATTTTAAATTTTTAAATCTGATCGAATATAAATTAGATTTGGATTAAAAATAGCTTAGTCTATATAAATTATTAATAACTATTTAATTTTATTTAAATAGAACTAACTAGAAACTTAAAATGAAAAACTTACTTTTTTTAATTAATATATAAAATGTTATGTTAAAAAAAATTTAATATCTGTTTGCTCTACCTTTCAATAAATTTTTAATGATTTTAAAAAGTTTTTTTAAAAATTTTTAGTAAGTTTTATATATTAACAAGAATTTTTTAAATTTTTTTTAATATTATAGCTTTATATTTAACTGCTTTAATTAATACAGCTTATTTTTTGACAATTTAAATATTTTTTAAAAATAGAACATGAAAACTTATTCAATAACATGCAATACTTGTATAAAGAAAATAATAGTTTAACAAACCATAATAACAATAACAATGATAATGTTAATAGATACAAGTAATTTATTAGAAATTGTTTCAATTACTTTAATAATTTATAGAAGCAAAGTATAGAAATATTTTATAAAAGTTCAAATTTTAAAAATAACAAAAAGGCTACTTGTAAATATTATAGAACAATATACAGTGTGATGCAAAAAATTTTGGAATTATTTATTTATTTATTACTCAAAAACTATTGCATAGAAATTAATAAAAAATATATTAAAAAAAAGCCAAAGATTTAAAAATTTTATTAATATATAATTAATAATTAATTCTTTTCACATTATTTTTAATTATTAATTCACATCTCTCTTTCATTGAATCTATAAAATTATTTAAAACCTTATTTGGAATTTTATCTTATTTTTTTATTATAAATTGTTTTAATTCTAAAATATTTTTTGGTAATCTTATTTCTACATTTTTTTTAGTAATAGTCCAAAGGTTTTCAATAGAATTTAAATCTGAACTATAAGAAGGTCAATCAATAATTTCAAAAAAAATTTCATTTAAAAATACTTTAGCAATTTTACTTATATGCTTGAAATCATTATCTTGTTAAAAGTGCCAATTGTTTTCAAGTATTTCTTGTTTATGATTTTGTAGAATATTAATATAAAATTTTGTATCCATAATTTCTTTAAAACAAAAAAAAAGAAGGTTTT